TTGAGGTTGCTGTGAGCGAGGCTGACGCCACGGCACTCTAGCCTGGGCAACAGAGTGAGACTCTGTCTCAAAAAAAGAAGCTGACAGAATCAGTGACACGTACCTTGTTAACAGTGACCTCAAGACCCTGACAATGAAGACAAACAGATAGAGTCAGTTCTGATTTAGGGAGTCAGTGGTTGGTTTGTTTTTTTAAGAGACAGGGTCAAGTGATCCTCCTGAGTTGCTGGGATTACAGGTGTGAGCCACCATACCTGGCTGGAATTCTGGTTTTCTAACACCCGGACTACCTGTGCCTAGTAAAACAAGTTACTTGGGATCCTGAGAGTCAGTCTTCAGTCCCTGTCATCAAAAAAAACTAGATATCAAAGATGAGATGCCCTTCACTGGGCCAAAGCCACTCTATTTTTTTTTTTTTTTTTTTTGAGAAAGTCTTGCCCGGCTGGAGTGCAGTGGTGTCATCCCAGCTCACTGCAACCTCAGACTCTGGGGCTCCAGCCTCGGCCTCCCAGAGTGCTGGGACCACAGGCGAGAGCCACCGTGCCCAGCCTACAACTTCCACTTCTTATTTAAGCCAAATAGTTGCTTTCTCATAGAAATCCTTTTTTAAAAAAAATCTTTTCTTTTGGTTGTTTTATACAACTTGAATTCATTTCTATGTTTTATACAATGTGGCCTTTAATACTCACATGAATTGATGTGAGACACATATGCTTTCTAAAGACTGGTTTTATATGCTGTTTATGTGAAGGAAACCCATTTTCAATTCAATAAAATGATTTGCAAAACCTTATGTGGTTGTGTGCGCACACTGGCACCCACAAACCCTGCGTCCGTCTGGGGTGTCCATGTGAGACACTGCCAGCTGTGAAAAGACAAGACCTCTTAGAATAAAAGGAGAGAAGACCGGGGCAGGTTTGGGAGGGGTCTGGGGTTAACGAGGAAGGAGCCAGTGGAGGGGAGGCTGCAGGCTCTCCAGAGGGTGCCAGGGTGTCCGTCCCCGGCTGGCAGAGATGATGACAGCCATGGCTCTTTCACCCACCGCCCCCCCAACCCCGTACCTGGGTCTTCCTGCTGAGCTGTGCTGGGCAGCTGCTCCCGCTGTCTCAGGGCCTCCAGGCCCGCCAGGTCAGGCAGGTGGCAGTGGCTACGCATCACCATCACCCGCTGGCCCTGGGTGATGGCCCGGCTGCGGCAGCCCAGCCGAGCCTGGTCCCGGCACATCCAGTACACCTTCTCCCCGGCGGCCTTCTCCTTCCTGTAGAGGAATGAGTCGTGCACCAGGAACCTGCCCCCAAGGGACGTCCTCAGGAACTCCAGGGGCCGGAGGGCTTCTGAAGGGGAATGTGACACCGTCAGCGGGGCCTGGGGGGCAGGGATGCACGTTTCCCCCAAGTCAGCCCCAACCAGGACGCTGCAACCCCCCCCCCCCAGCAGGACCCTCTCAGGGCAGAAGCTCAGGCCACAGCCCTGACTGCCTGGAGTGCAGACTGGCTGTCCCTTTCCAAGGGCCCTGCAGCTGCCCAAACCCCGAAATCTCCTGGAGGCCTCTCCTGACCACGCAGCCCCCCAGGGCAGAGGCCGGGCCATGGCTGAGCTGGGCCGAGCACCAGGGGCACAGCCCGGCTCCTTGTCCGCCGACCCGCCAATCAGACTCTCTGACTTTTAAGCTGAACCAAAAGGTCACGCAGTGTTGGGGCTGGGTGGCCTGGGGGAACCGTGCGAGACCAGCAGCAGCTGGGGGCACGGGGAGGGGAGCTGAAGGGTGCCCAGGGCCCAGTGTGTGCAGAACGTGTCCTGCAGCTGCCGATGGCGCCACCCCAGCCCTCCAGCTCCTCTCTAGTGGTCTAAGAAGGTGGCTCCCCTGACAGCCAAGCCTGCACGGAGCCCTCAGCACCCAGCCCAGTGGACAGACCGACACGCACGTCCCGCAGGCAGCCTCCAGCCCGTGTGCAGGGGCTCAGGTCCTGGGGGGCTGCCAGGCAGCAGAGAGACCAGTGCCCACCCACCCCTCCTGCCCGCACCTGGGCCTTCTTCCCACCGGGCCAGATTGGGGAACTGCTCCCGCTGTCTCAGGGCCTCCAGGCCCCCCAGGTCGGGCGGGTGGCAGTGGCCACGCATCACGGTCACCCGGCGGTCCTGGGTTATGGCCCGGCTGCGGCAGCCCATGCGGGCCTGGTCCCGACAGGTCCAGTACACCTTCTCTCCCGTGGCCTTCTCCCGCCTGTAGAGGAACGACTCGTGCACCAGGAAACTGCCCCCCAGCGGGGTCCTCAGGAACTCGGGGCCTCCTGGAGGAACAGGAGAGGCATCAGGGGAGGGAGCCTGAAGCCGAGGCTTGGGAGCACCGTGGGGGGCCCTGTTCAGGAGCAGCATGGCCACCAGAGTGTGCCCCGGCCCCGTGCCTGCACCCCCTCCTCACAGTGAGGTGGCCGTGGAGCCCAGAACACAGACCCTGCCATCCCCCAAACCCAGCTGGCCTCCAGCTGCCGGGGGCTCCCTTTCCTGAGGCTGGGCAGGGACCCTGCAAGTAAAGGCCTGGTGCCCCCCCCATGCCTGCAGGGCAGTGGCTGCTATGTCCACTCGGCTGTCCTCAGTGCCCACACGGGCCAGCGTGCAGGGCGCATCGTGTCGCACCTGTGCAGAGGGATGCACGCCACGGCCTTGGGGACAAAGCAGCCGGGGCCGCGTGGGGGGCTGTGGGCAGCAAGTGCGGCTGTAGCAGGGCCATGTCCCCCGCCCGGGTGGGTGAGCCCTGCCTCGTCTTGGGCCTTGGAGGTGTTGAGAGGGAGGACCCAGGAGGCTGGCTGTGCCCTTCTGCCCAGAGGTCTCCCTTCCCCTTCCTCCATCCAGGCACAGGGGCCACAGAGGTGAGTGGAGACAGCGGGGAAGGGGGGGTCGTGAGCACATCGGGCGGCCGCAGAAGCCCTTGGAGTGAGAAGGCTCCTGAGCAGGCGCGGGTAGCCGGCTGCAGAGCCCCTAGAGAGAGGCAGCGAGGGCTGAGCAGTGGGGGACTGCGGGGCGGCCCGGGAGGCAGGAGGACCCTGCAGGGTGCAGAATGTGGGGATGTGGGGACAGAGCCAGCCAGGAGGAAGAGTAGGGACATGTGACTACAGGAAATGAGCCCTGTGACCATGGGGCAGGCACCACCTCCTTCCACATGCAATTAAAATGTCCAGTTAGGAATAAAAAGGCAGAGACCACAAGGCCAGAGACCCTGATAGGATGTAAGGGGGTGGCAGCCGGGAACCGGAGGCCTGAGGTCCTTTGGGAGGAGGTGTCGCGGTGAGGGTTATCGGTGTGAAGAGGCAAGGGGGGGCCATGGCAGCTGCCCGAACCCAGCGGAGGAAGAGGCTCGGTGCTGACACCGGGGGAGGGGGTGGGCGTCTGCATCCACGATGTTGTTCCCCTGCCCCAGCCCCAGCAAGCGGGCCACCAGGCCTGTGTGCCCAGGGCAGGCGGTTCCTCCTGTGGGCACTGACCAGCCCAAAGACCCACACGGGCAAGGCCTGGGGTCCCACAGTGGAAACACCACTCGCTACTGCAGCCCCCTGCGCTAAGCCCGTAGTCAGCACCCCATGGAGCGCGTCAGAGCCGAGGGTCACCGGACGCCCGGGAGAAGCTGCGCCCTGTAGACAGAGATCAAAGCAGAGACCCAGGCCCCAGGAGGGCACAGGATCTGCGACTGGACGGACTGCAAAGGAGATGTTCAACCATGAGAGCAAAATTTTGGAAAATTAAATAGAAGGACTGGAAAACAAAACCTAGGAAGTCTCAGTGCTGCATAAATAATCCCTCATCCCGGCAGGATCAACTTCCAAATCACAGGAGCAACAACAAGACACAACGACGGGGGAGGTTATCAAAGAACACAAGGAGATGGCCCCATGTCGAAGGACACAGCTCACAGCCCTCGCACAGGGACCGGAAGAAGACCCGGAGGCTTCAAGCCCGGCCCGACCACACGCAGGACTGATCGGCAGGAAATCGCAACGCTGTTCTGTTCGAGAACAGGCCCAACCGCCACTGACAAACGACCTACCGCCCGGAGCGCCACAAACAGCCACACTGTCTGCCGGCGTGAGGCGAGAGTAGGGGCACCTTCAGATACGCGAGGTCTCAGAGCGTGCCCGCCGGGACTCTGGCTTGGGACGGACTAGAGGAGGGACTTCTCCAAACCGCAAAACCAAGAAAGAGAAAGGCAGGCCCAGAGCAGGAGTCTGGCAGAGGGAACCCCGAGAGACTGACGGGTGCCCCCAGGCCAGGCTGGAGGGGCCAGGGCCCCCCAGGACTGTCATCAGCAAAACGCAGAGGTGTCTGAAGATCTGATGGAGGTGAGGGAGGAAGCGAAGGAAGAAAGCAGCGATCGGTACACAGAAAACCAGGCAGATTCAGCAGCTGCTGCACCGCAGAGAATAGAGCTGCGCAGGGAAGGGTGGGGAAGGGAATGGCATCCCGGTGTCTCCCCCGCTCTGCTGTGAACAGGTTTATATAACAGAATAAAAACAGAAACCTGTGCATAAGTGCCCTGAGCGGTGGGCCTGTGGATTAGAGCTGAATCCTTACTTTCTCAGACTGGAAGTTAACAGGTGACAAGGAGATTGAGAAAATAGCAATAAAAGCATGTTTCAAGAAATAGGGTAGCCAGGCGCGGTGGCTTATGACTGTAACCCCAGCACTCTGGGAGGCTGAGGCGGGAGGATCGATTGAGGCCAGGAGTTGGAGATCAGCCTGAGCAACATAGCAAGACCCCATCTCTGCAAAAAATAAAATTCAGCTGCATGTGGTGGCGCCTGTAGTCCCAGCTACTTGGGAGACTGAGGCAGGAGGATTGCTTGAGCCCAGGAGTTCAAGGCTGCAGTGAGCTATGATGCCCACTGTACTCCAGCCTGGGAGACAGAGCAAGACCCTGTCTCTAACAAAAAAAAAAAAGAAAGAAAGAAATAGGCAGCAAATACCCTAAGAAACAACAGACACTGCTCAGGGGCTCACGCGGGGCAAAGCAGAGGGAGGCAGGGCAGCTGTGCACCTTGTACCATTTCCTCCCTATACGTGAAAGTTAAATGGAGACAGGATAAAGAGAGGGTTAGAAAATCAGCTCTGAAGTCAGGGCCTACAGGCAACTGGGATGACTCAAAAACTATAGGATCGGGAAGAACCTCTGGAAAGAGAGGCAGGTGCCTCGTGGACGTGAACGCAGACGTGGGGAGCTGAGAAGGCTGGGCCGAAATTGCTCTTCGCAGCCAGACGGGACAGGAGCAGTTCCACTGTGACCACGAGAGTCCAAACACCAGGCAAAAAAACCACAGGGGAAGGAGGAGGGAAGGTGTGCCCCAAACTCTCCCTCTCGGCATCCTCCCTGAGCTGCTGAGATTTGGGGGCAGGTCAGGCTGGAAAGGGGGGGCCTGGGTGGATGGGACCCCACTGAAAGCAAAACTAGGTGGGCCGAGGAATGGGAGGCGAGGACTGTAACTCCTTCTAGAATGTTCGCGGAAGGAGGACGTTTGCCCGTGGCACATGTGAGGTCGAGAGGGAAAGGCTATCGGGTCTGGGGCCTGCTTCCCGGGACCCAGCTCCCCGTCCATCCCCAGGTACCTGGACTCCCCCTCGGCGACGGGCTGGCGCGTTTCTCCCGCTGTCTCAGGGCCTCCAGGCCCCCCAGGTCGGGCGGGTGGCAGTGGCCACGCATCACGGTTACTCGCCGGCCCTGGGTGATGGCCCGGCTGCGGCAGCCCATGCGGGCCTGGTCCCGGCACGTCCAGTACACCTTCTGCCCTGCAGCCTTCTCCCGCCTGTAGAGGAACGACTCGTACACCAGGAAGCTGCCCCCCAGCGGGGTCCTCAGGAACTCGGGGCCTCCTGGGAGAAGGGGAGAAGTGGTCAGGGGAGGGGACAGAGTGGGCTGAGGAGGAGGCAGGGGCCACTGGGCAGGCCTGATCTCCCCCCACCTCCCTGGCCCTCGGGAGGCAGGACTGGAGGGAGGCAGGGCGGGCTCAGGGCCCTCACCGGGCTCTGCGTCCTGGTCTTCTTCGTGGGATCCCTCCAGGGCACGGGGCTGGGCCGGAGGCTCCTGATCTTTGACCTTGGCTCGCTTTCTGGGCCCAGGCCTGGTGAGGGTCAGGGTCCCTGGCCCCCTGCGGTAGCACAGACTGTCCACGCCTTGGAGCAGCTTGTCCACTTGGCCCTCGGGCCCGTCCAGCCTGCCCTGCAGCGTCTCCATGGCCTTCTCCTGCTGCCGCCGGGCCTTCAGGCCCTCCACGTCGGGCGCGTGGCAGTGGCTGCGCATCACGGTCACCCGCTGGCCCTGGGTGATGGCTCGGCTGCGGCAGCCGTGCAGCGCGTGGTCCCGGCAGGTCCAGTACACCTTGTCGCCCACGGCCTTCTCCCGCTTGTAGAGGAACGACTCGTGCACCAGGAAGCTGCCCCCGTAGCACGTCCTTAGGAACTCGAGGGACCGGGCCTGTCCTGGAGGGGGACCCAGGGCAGTCACAGCTGAGAGCGGAGGGGGTGCCCACAGCACTTTGGGGACTGACATGCGTTTCTCCTTTATGGCTGAAATTGACCCCTACTGCTGGGGCCATTCCCACCGACACCCCCCAGCGGGAGATCCAGAGCAGCTGTAGGTCCCCTCCAGTCGTCAGCCGTGACACCTCAGCTCGTGGCTGTGAGACTCCGAGTCACTGTCACCCCGCAAGGAGCCAAGACGGACTCTGACTCGGCACCTATGCTCCCAGTCCCACTTTCTCTCAGGGCTCTGTTGTAACTTTTATCCACCTTGTAACACACACACGTGCCATAAAACTCAAATGGTACCAAAAAATACACAGTGAAAAATAAGCCTCTTCCCGCCCTCCCAGGTACCCTGTGCGGGGGCCACCTCAGACCCTTAAATCCTTTCCAGGCCGGGAGGTGCCCAGGCTTCTCGACCCCAAGCCCACTGTCCAGTCGTGGGTAATAAAAGCCGCCGTAAAACTCCGACATGCCAGTCACTGAGCCCCACCTGGGGGCTGGGGCTGGGCGCTTCCCGGGCACCGGAACTCCCGAGCTCCATGACAACTCGGCTTAGCCTGCCCGTTTCAGGACAAAGCTCCTGAAACTCTAGAAATGAAGCCAATTCTCGGAGGCTTCAGGGCAACCAGAGGTGGGGCTGGAATCTGAACCTGGGACCCATAGCCCCAAACTCTCCCTCGCGGCATCCTTCCTGAACGTAAGGACGCCAGCCCACCCGGGAGCCTGCTAAATTCTGATTTCTGGGCCCCACACCAGACCCTGCTGCATCAGAAAATGCTGGAAGGACCTGGGACCCCCAGATCACAGCTGGTTCAGGAGCAGTAGTTCTATCCCATGGGCTTAATGATATTACACTTTTCGAAGTCATTTTGACTTCGAGCGCATTTTAAAAAACCACAGGGGACCCTGCTTTTCTACTTGGGCTTGGGAAGGGGTCTTCAGGGCCCCGCCCGCCCCAGTGTGCACTCACCCATCCCCAGTGTCGGGCGTTTCTTGGGGGGCAGACTCAGCAGCGACAGGGTTCGGGGTCCCCCATCTTCCTCCAGGGCTGGCTTGCTCAGCACCGGCCCAGGGGTGGGTTCCGGCTCCTCAGGGCACAGCCAGGGGCCCACCCCCTCGAGCGGCTGCTCCACTCGGCCTCCAGGACCCTCGGGACCCGGGGGATCCCCCAAGCCCTCGGGCAGGGCCAGGCTGGGCAGCTTCTCCTTCTGGCGCCGGGCCTCCAGGCCTTCCTCATCAGGCGGGTGGCAGTGGTCCCGCATCACGGTGGCCCTTGGGCCTCGGGTGATGGCCCGGCCCCGGCAGCTCAGCGCTGAGTGCTGGCGGCACTTCCAGTACACCTTGTCCCCCACGGCCTTCTCTTGTTTGTACAGGAATGATTCCAACACCAGGAGGCGGCCCCCGAATGGGGTCCTCAGGAACTCCAGGGGTTTGGGGGCTGCTGGGGGCAAGGGGAGGGCTGGGTTAGCTGGCCCCAAAGTAGGGCTGGGGCCAGAGGCATGGGCAGAGCCGGTGAGGGTGCCGGAGTAGGGCAGGGTCCCTGCAGTGGGAGGAGCCTGCTCCTCCTCCTGGGCCCAGCCAGGAAGTCCAGACTCCCAAGGCGGCTTTACTGGGGGAGTTAAAGGAGTTTGGCACATCCTGCAGCCCCCAGGAGCTCAGGGAGTGCCCAGGCAGTGACCCACAGGGACGATCGTGTGATCATTACGCCAGCCTGGGACAGGGTTGTGATCAGACACCAGGAGGCTCAGCTGGGAGCAGGGACAGACAGCCAAGGTCACTTCACTACAAAGGAGAGTGCCCAGGGCCTGTGGAGGTGCTGGGCCAGGGGCAGCAGGCCTAACCCCTCACCTGTGTCCTGCTTGCTGCATTTCTGCTCAGGGGTCTGGGGACCTGGCTGGACTGCGTCCCCCTGCTCCTCAGCTGGCAGGATCTGCAGAGTGCTGGCAAGGATGGTGGGGCCAGATGTCTCCAGGGACACGATACAGCGCACTCCTCTGGGCTTGGAGTCCACTCCATCCCCACCCTGGTTGGAGGCCGTCAGCAGGACCAGTTTGGAGAACTCCTCGGGCTTGCTGGGGGCTGCCGGGACGACATCCGTGCCCGGCTCAGGGGATGGCTCCTGGCCGGCCTTCACGCTCTCGCCCTCCTGCTCGCTGGCCTCAGGCAGGGGCATTCCAGGACCTATGGCCTGTCCCTCAGGCCACACTCAGTCCCAGGCAGATGGATTTCTCCTCCTCCCTGGCAAGGAACCTGGGAGTCCAGGGGCTCCGTCCTAAGGAGGCAAAATCCCAGTCAGTGGAGGAAGCCTTGGGCCTGGGGCTCTAGAAATGGGCTAAGAAGGAGGATGGGCAGATGGGCTACCTGGGTGTCCCTGGGGCTGAGAGGCTGGGAGGGACCTGCTGGAGCTGGGGACCCTGGGCTGCTGCTTCTCTGCCAGGTCCTCTCCTGGCAGTCTTGGGTCCCCTCCCCTGTCCAAGCCTCACTTTCCCCGTCTCTAAAATGTGCACAACAGACACCTCTCCTGAAGGGCTGTGGGGCGACGGATGCTGATGCTATGAGTGACGGCCCACGGGCCTCTCACGTGCCGAGCACAGGCGAAGTGTTTCCACGCACTTCCCCATCGACCTTCTAGCCCCACGTTATGAAAGTCAGCCGCTCTTAATGACCCAGTTGACAGATGGGACAGTGAGGCCCAGAAAACAATGATATGCCTCAGGCTGAAGAGGCAGGAAGTTGAACCTCAGTTTCTGCTCAGGTGCCTGGGGACTTGCCGGACCTCTTGGACCATGCACCCCACCCGGTGCTGTGCACCTGTCTCAGGAGGGTGGGCCGGGTGAATGCAGGCACTTTGAAGACAGCACTAAAGTCTGGCCCTGGAGGTCCCAGTCCTAGGCTGGAGGCCCCAGGCCACCTAGCCCTCAGGAGATGCCAGGGCCCCACAAGAGCAGCGACCTTGTGCCTGGGCCAGTGCTGGCTCAGCTGGGCATGGATAGGGCTGTGGAAGTGTCAGAGAATCCCTCGAGGTCACTGGGGGCTCCTTGGCTTCCAGCCTGGAGCAGCCGAAAGGCTGACAACGTGGAGCTGGCATGGGGCTGGGCTGGCCTGGAGTGCTGGGCCTTAGTCAGCAGTGGGGGGCAGCCTGTGTGTCTTTCTGGGATGACTGGGTGGTGAGCAGATGGTGGGGTCTTTCCCAGCTCTCATTGACAGCTTGGGAACAAGACTAGTGCAGCCCCTGACAGTTTTAGCTTCCTCACTGCGAAAGGTCACCCCTGCTCCAAGTTTTGCGGTTCCAGTTCCACTGGCCCCCATTTTTGTTCCATGGTTCCCTGCTCTGAGGACCCACATTCTGCTCCCCAAAAGCCTGGTCAGCTCCAGAGTCCCTGTAGGATGACGTAGAGGGGCGCCCAGCCCAGGGCAGCCATGAAGTCCCCATCCCCCCCGAGGCAGGACCCCAAGAAATACCCCAGGTAATGGGCAGATGATGCGGAGTCCAGGGCCGCCCGTGTCATCGCCCCCAGCCCCGGTCCAGCCCCCAGACAAGCCAACCCCTGTCTCCCCCACACCCCGCGGTCCTTCCAGCCCGTGCCCATCCCGTCCTACAGGGTAGTGTGAGGTGCTGGGAACCAGGGTGTGGGGGACAGAGCCTGCAGGTGCCTCCAGGGCGGAGCCACTCCGGGCAGGGGCGGAGCCACTCCGGGCAGGGGCGGGAGGCCCCACCCACACGGCGCCCCGCCCGGCGCGCTGATTGGCCCCGAGCACGTCCCTCTGCCCGCAGCCCCGCCCCTCGGCTGCGGAAGAGTGAGGAGAATGAACTGAACGGACGCAGACGGACGTAGCAGGTTCCCTGACCTCGCATCCTCCCTGGTCCCGCGCTCTTCCGCCCTCTGAAGCAAGTCCCCACTGCTCCTGGCCAGGCCGGACCAGCCCCCGCCAGCAGCCTGCGCTCCCTGCCTTCCCCGGGCCTCCCACCCAGCCAGGGCGATGGGGGCAGAAGGCCAGGCCCCTTCCCATAGGCCTTTCGGACAACTCAGGCCACCAAAGTGATTCAGCTGCTGCCCACCAGTGTGCAAATTCCTACAGGACCCAGCAGAGGGACAGGAGTGGAGGCTGGCATGGGCCCCCACACCAGCCGCCTAGGTCTCAGACCACCCAGCACAATGAAAGCCCCACATTCCCATGGAATGTGCCCCAGTCATGGGAGGTGACAGGAGAGAGTGCAATCCTCTCAATTAAAATTTCTGTTTCAGGCTGGGCGCGGTGGCTCATGCCTGTAATCCTAGCACTCTGGGAGGCCAGGCGGGCGGATCGTTCTGAGCTCAGGAGTTCGAGACCAGCCTGAGCAAGAGCGAGACCCCGTCTCTACTAAAAATAGAAAGAAATTAATCAGACAACTAAAAATAC